GGCCAACATCCAACCGTAGCTGCATACATTTCAACCGTCATTTTAACTAACCAGACAAAATTCATGCAAACCTGCCGATATTCATCAAAATTCGGATAGACAAATGGTAGAAATCATCCATACATAGCATGCAAATTAAGTCTAGTACAATAATGTCTCAAATTTGACTAGATTAATCAGATGTCCAATAAGTTTTTCATCAACGAATCATGTCGTTCCACACATACTCCCCCTTCAGCTTCATCCAACAATGTATGCACGTAAATGATTGTCCCTCTGTCCTGTAGTACACCACTGCAGAGCGTGCAGGCTACATATAATTTGTAGACCAACATTGAGTGAAAGAATCAATCAATAAGTTGAGCCAGAGAAAGCAAAACTTGCGATCTCATCATCTGCCGCGTGCAATGGCCACCTTACCTCGAGCTGATGAACCACGTCACAAAACTTGCTGGCGCTGTTCTGGATGGCGTACCAGCAATAATCTCACGTTCCGTTGTTGAATGTTGTACATGCCGCAGGACGCAATGTGCTTTCATGCGTGAAATTTTTCATGCACTTGCTCCCAGAAGGTCGCCCCTCTGTTCCTTCCTACGAAATCCGCGGATACGGCCAACCACGCATCTCACAACAACCCATCCTCCATGGTTGAGTAGCTCACCATCCTTCGTACTCTAAAAAATGACAAAGCGTTTGAAAATAAGCTCAACGACATTTGACCGAACACCTGCCGGGCGTGGTGTCCGCCATGGAAGTCGTCGACGGGGGAGGGGGGGCGAAGTGTACCTGGGTACAAATGGTTCCAGGGTGGACAACTCCATCGTGAAGGCGAGTGGGCGCGTCATTGCTAGTTGCGGACGTCCGACAATGGCTCTGTGACGGCCGAAGACATACAGCAGCGGCGGCGGAGGTGGGGGTGCGGATGCAAAGCAATGAGGAGAAGGGGAGGAGTGGAAGTAAATGGGACCCGGAGGGGGATTGGGTGGCCCAAGGGAACGTCCTACGTGTCTGTTGTCCAGACTCCCGCAAACCTACTTTGTCTCCAATTTGCGGGAGAAAATGCGTTCGGACCGCCATGTGACCGATACAGAACCGCGTTGCATGTGTTCCACGGTCCGGACAGCGCGTTCCGGACGCATGCATGAGGTTTGTGGGTCGGTGTTGGAGATGCCCAAATAGAGCAACCTAAAAAATCTTCGTTTATGCAATGAAGAAGCTTTATTGGCTGATAAAAGGTACCCTCTCTATTCTATAATGTAATGCGTATAAGTTTATGGTAAAGTTAAACTTTTGACAATAGAGAAAACTATTTAAATCTACAATAGCAAATATAGAAAATATAACACTACATCTTATGATGAATTTAACGATATATGTTTGGCATTCTAGATGTAAATATTTTTCTCCACAAATTTGATCGAAATTTTGTAAGGTTTGACTTTTCAAAAAAATCTATACATAATGGAGACACAACCGCAATAATTTTTAGTCTCAGACTGAGTATGACATTTCATCCAACAGATCCGCTACGTACACATATTATCATCCACATGAATGTGCGTAACTTCAAAATTAAATCCATCAATAAAAGAAGGGGATTGTAGGAAATGCAATTGTTACTACTTTTATCCCGTCATACACTTCCTCAATGTCTAGCTCAAGTCTCAGTTCAACCACACAAACCAAGCATCGTCCTTCAAATTAAGGCAGTAGGCAAGATGGTAAGCCCAGAAACCTTTACGATCGATCGAAGAAAATGGCGAGGCAGCCCCATACTGGCTCGTAGGTAACATGCTAACACGTAGACGTAGTACGTACGCTCGAAGCTAGCTACTTGAGCCTGACGAGCCAGACGTCGTCAACGACGGGCCCGCACAGCGTGGCGTTGACGGTGTGGTGGTTCGAGCTCTGGAACACCACGCGCGTCTTGTCCGCGATCGCCGTGAACTCGAGCTTGCCGCACTTGTGCCCGCCGGTGCCGCGGGACACGTACGAGACCCTCAGCCTCTCCCGCGCCGCGTACACGTCCACGCCCAGGGACCCGACGCATCCGTTGCGCGCGTCCCCGACGGAGAACGTGAGCCTGTACGACCGCCCGGGCACGGTGCCCAGCACCTCTTGCACCAGCGCGACCTCCACGCCGGCCACCAGCTCCACGGCGCGCGCGCCCTTGGGCACCGCGTGGTGCTGCGCGTCGATGTACTTGACCACCTTGGTGTCCGACATGATCATCCACCACGGGAGCGGCGAGTGCACGTCCTCGAAGATCGGCGGCATCAGCACGCCCCACGGCGTGTTCGGGAAGATGTACGGCCCCTGCTCGAAGTCCCCATTCTTCACCATGTTGCCTGTTCACGTAGGATTCGTGCACTCATCAGTTACGCTGTCTCACGAGTGACGGGGCGAGGTGAACTTTGGGGATTTCGGTCGATACGTACCCTTGTTGTACAGCTGAGGGTAGAGGGTCTTGATGGCGACGGCGATGATGAGAGGGCCGCACGCCGGGTTCTCCTCGATGCCGGTGTTGTGGATGGAGAGCCACACGGTGGTGTGCCTGGGCTTGAACGCCCAGGAGTAGGTGTCCCAGCCGGTGTTGGTGTACACGGTCTGGATCGGGAGCAGGCCGAACTCCGGGTCGACCGACACGTTGAGCTTCTCCTCCTGGGCGCATGACCGCGCGGCGATGAAGGAGATGGAGTAGTAGGTGTGGCGGGCGACCTTGAGCTGCTGCCGGATGGTGGCGTCGTTGCCCAGCCGCACGGCGTTCGCGCCCACCGGAACCGGCAGCATCATGTCGGCCTGCGTGTGCCCCGACTCGATATACTCCACGAACCCCGAGAGCTCCCAGTTGGGTATCGCGTGCTTCCCCGTCAGCACCGGGCCCTTCATCTGGGACTTGTCTGGCCCGTTTCTGAAGTCCCCGTTGGGTAACAGGCCTGCGCACCCACAAACCAGTCGTTCAAAAAGTTGAGACAAAGTGTTTTGCTAATTCAGTAAATGGGTGCAGAACAAGTTACACATGATTGGTTTATCGAAGACACACTGATAACTCGCTATGTGCTACTCTACTTGTTACTTACTCCCTCCGTCCCATAATATAAGGGTGTTTTTGACACTGGTGGGTACTTCATTTAAACCACGTACGCAGGCCACAGCTAACCTTTCTTTTCATATAAAAAGGATTGGTGGTGCAGCTAATTTCATAAAGAACTGAAAAATGACAAAGGAAACATATCGTAGAACCATGTTCATATATTACAACTGAGACATCTCACGCGATAGAAGAGCCTGACATGAACAAAGCATGTGTATGCCATGTGACTAAGCAGAACAAAATATCCTTCTGAAATCCTGGATGGGATACCACTGTCAGTTAAGATATTGTAATTGTAATTTTGTAAAGTCAACTTCACTTCAATTCTTAAGATCAGATCTCCATTGTCGAGATCAAGCTGGTTCATAGCTTGATTTTCGATGCATGAGGTTGACTAACCTCAGTTTAAGGTAGTTGAAGTACAGTGTATCCTGAACTTATTTTATAATATACCTTACAAAAAAAGTTACTAAACACAAGGAAAATATGATCAGACTCACCGCAAAAAAGAAAAAAAATCAGACAACAATAGATACGCAGAGACTGATGAACCTAAAGAAAAGATAAGAGAATGCCGATGGACCTAAAATTAACGATAAATGGTAAATATACGATTGCATTTCAAATTTCATGTTTACTCCCTTTGTTTCTAAATATAAGTCTTTTTAGAAATTTTAATATGAAATACATATAGAGCAAAATGAGCAAATCTACACTCTAAAATATGTCTATACATATCTATATATAGTTCATATTGAAATCTAAACAGCCTCAGAGAACGATGCGGTTATTTCTGACCACTATACATGCCCTAGTGGCCCCAATAGTTTGCAACTGAAAGAAACTTTTACATAAGAGACAATTAAGGAAAAACTTAGTAGTCAGTTTCCGGTTCTTACCATCCTCGATGATGGCAGAAACGGCCAGAGCAGACACGGCGACCAGCAAGAAGAGCGCTATCCAACGCATGCTTGTCGCCATTCTCTCGCAGTGGCAATGGTCGACGAGCCCTCTGTGGCCGTCGCCTCTCGAGCTTTACTGGAAGCTACACCGGGCTTTGTGGCTTCAGCCCACAGGCGTGGAGTACCCAGCGGCCTTATATATAGGACTGCTCCATATTAGCACGCACTGGTAGGGGTGGGCTCAGCGGAGGCCGACGGACGGGGTGCCGCGAGACGCGCCGGCCACTGCCGGGAGCATGAGAAAGACAGCGAGCATCTCATCAGCTTTGACTTTTGAGGCGCTGTAGAGTACAGATGTACTCGGTGATCGGGCTCCTCCGTGCGCGCACGTGGCATTCGACTTCCATTGAAGAAGATTCTCAATTCAGGAGATTAGAGTGCAATTTGTTTTTGCTTTTTACTGAAGACAGCAGGTGATTTACCTACTGTAAAATTTGTAAGAGAATATGAGTAACAGTTTACAATAAAGTTACAACAGGCCACGTGCCAAGGTAACTACTGGAAGTTTGCTAGCATAAGCAGCTCTTTTGACTGATTGACTCCATGTAGCAGTAGCTGCAGTCCATCTTTCAAGCTCTTGTTATATTTGTAGAGATTAGGAACTTTTTTGTTGAAGATGTGCTCATTTCTGCAAATCAAAATGCCGCATGTCACTCGAATGAGGAACTAGGGCAGCGGAGTGGTAAGTCAGATGGTGCATGATGCTGTGGCGGCAACTCACGCGAGGGACACTGGGCCAGCGGCCCTAACGTCATGGCGGTTGTTACAAGCCGGCTTGCGCAGGTATGGAGTGGTTCCAATCAGGTGGACACCGTGCCATGGAAGCCCGCCCTCCCCGCGACAGGTGGGGTGGTGGTCTATGGTGGGAACATATCTTAGTCATCCGCTGGTGCCTTTCTGGCCTAGCATGGAGTACAGGTTGGCGCGATCTCTGGAAGACCCGTTTTCAGAATGATGATTGAAATAACACCTCATTTCAGGGTAAAAACTCTTGTTCTTGACTTGATTGCATGGGCTTAGTAGCGACGCACTTACGTTATTATCTTGTTGAAAGCACTGTCTCCTTACTGATGTGCTTGCCTTGACCATCTTCGGTTGGACATGAAAACGGGCGCAAGGGCACTTATTACTTCTTGAAGGTGTTGATGCGAAAAGAAGTTAATTTAATAATGGGTGATTACTTCATGTCTTATAACGGCTCACCCGTGGTTGCTATTGTATTGTACTCCCTTCGTTTCATAATTTTTGTCGTGCTTTTAGTTCAAAATCCTTCAGTTCCATAATTCTTGTCGTGCTTTTAGTTAAAATTTTAAACAAAAAGCATGCGAAGAATTTTGGAACGAAGGAAGTACTCTCTTAAGAACTAATCAGAATCATTGTGTGCATCACGATGATGCAGAGGTTGAGGGTTCAACATTCTTTTTGAAAAAAGAAGAAGAAATGATAGATACATCTTGTTTTAGCAAAAAGGGTTTGCCTATATTTTCATTAGTAGAAACCATATAGTAGTTCTTACAGCCTAGCAACATAGCACCTATAAGAAACTACAAAACTACATCACATCCACTTATAACTTACAAGCATACCCCGGACCCAGCCCAAACCATGTAAGACATATGAAAGAGGAACATCAGGATTACAAACCGCGAGAGATTTTCTTCACCCATCATCAACCACTAATAATCCACATAAATCCATGGTGCCATCCTCGCGACGTATTGAACACCTCACTTGGTACCCGTTCAGTAACTTTACCCCCACATCAGCTCACTTTGAACTTCTTGGTTTTTCTGCAAAATTGACCACCAGTTTATGAGGTAACAAATATTATGTAGAGTTACAAAAGGATCAATCCCCCTTTGCATTCAAAGGATATGTCATTTCTACAACTACAAATAGACCATGTCAATGCAGATATACCCACACGAGTTTCATCTTTTTTTCCTTCACAAGTTTCATCTTTTGTTTTCCTTCCCAAACCGAGGAAGCCAAAGTGGAAAATAAGACTTTTAATATCAGTTGGCATTGAATTTAAATTAAAAGTGCACTATAGAAGACTATATATGAATTTTGCTACAGAGCGGTGAAGAAATAAGTGGTCAACAATCTCATCTACACCACATAACACACATTTGGAACTCCTAGTCCACCCATTTTAGCAAGTTTCTCTTTGGAAGCACATTTATTGCGCACAATGAGACAAATAAATACCTTGATCTTTGGAGGGAATTTAACCTTCCAAAGAAACTTCAAGGGAAACTATAAATTGTTAAGACTAAGTTGATTATAAAATAACTTGATAGTATATTTACCATCAACAGTAAGAGGCCGAACCAAAGAATCTTTCTCATCTTTCAGTTCAATGTGATATCATTTTTCCATTGAATCAGTGTATAACCCCTCAAGGGTTCTCCTAAAAGTGAAATGATCCCAACCTTTCTCTACCACATCTCCCAATTTAATGTTCTTAGTAAAGCAGAGATCATACAATCTAGGGTAACATTGATTCAATGGTTTGTCAACCACCCACCTTTCTTCCCAAAATCTAACATTTCTACCATCACCCATGTTCTTAACATATTTGGAGAAAAAAATCCTTCATAGATAGGATTTCGGCCCAAAATTGGGAGTCTCCCACCTTACGTTTTACCCCAGAGAGACAATCATTCTCGAAATACCTATTTTTAAAGCATAGATTGCCAAAAACCTTCTTCAATTTCTGGTTTCTATAGCCAATTGGCAAGGATATCTTTGTCCATCAAATACAAGATAAGAATACCAAGCGCCCCCCCCCCCCCCACACACACAATTGTTTTTTAGGTTGAAAGACCTCAGCCCATCAAACAAAGTGATATTTCTTTTTGTCTTTATCTCCTTACCAAGTGATTCTAGCCCTGAAGAAGTCAAATCTTTTTCTCACCCCTACTTGGATGGGATGGAAAGACATCATAAAATAGGAATATTACTAAGATAAGACTACACGAGAGCAAGCCTACTAGCAATATCCAACATTTTACCTTGCCAACATGCACATCTCTTTTCAATTTTATCTTCAGAATACTTCCATTTTTGTTTATAATCATAATTATGTTTAGTGGGATACCAAATATTTCATAGGTAGAACCCCCACCTCATAGGTATATATCTCTCTATAAGTTTTCTCTTTATCAGTAGCTTCACCAAATAGGAAAATCTCACTTTTGAGGAAAATAATATCCAAACGACTCATATGTTCAAACACACACAATGATTTTCAAATTTTGTGTCTATTTAATTCATCGGGAACAAGGAACATATATCTAGTGACCTAAGTTAAGCCATCAGGACTTCGTGATGGTAGTCATTCTGACTGCACGTTGTTCGTAAGTACATTTAGGTACGTCTAGTATTGATGTGACTCCCTTGGTTGCTTGGCAAGTTGTGCTGCCGAAGTCCCGGTTTTGCTCCCATTGGAGACACACTCCTCCATGGTTATTGGTGGTGTTGACCTACTTCACATCCTTGGTAGTCTAGGAGTATATGTTGGAAGGCTTCGAGGGTTTCTCTCGAGATGGATACTTACAAAGTTGTGGTCATCTCATAGTTTAGGCGACTGCATTCGATCACACGTTTGAGTGAACCTTTCACTATGATGGCACCATGAGGTACCGACAACTTAAGCATCATGTACGTCTAGATGGGTATCACCATGAACAACGTGAGGTGTAGTCGTCCTTTCAAGATGTTGTAGACTATATCAAAGTCGATGACCTCAAAAGTGCATAGCTCTCTTCTAAAGTTTTCCTCTTCTTCAGGGATAATGATAAGGGCAATATGCCCTAGTAGTATATGTGACATTCCCGAGACCAGTCCATCAAATTCTCAGGAGTCATGTTCTATTTCTACATAGGAAATTTGCATATGCTCTAGTGTCGTTAGGAATGTCATGCTAATGGACCTGCCAATGTCAATCAAAATTCGATGGACTCATGCACTCCCTATGATTTGCGAAATGAACAGAGGGAGTCGTCCTGGGTGCGGGTACTCAGGTGGGTAGTCTTCCTCGCAAAATGTGATTTGGATTTATGCCCATTTCATTCTGCGACTGAAGCTTGAGTTGTAGGATGAGACAACCTTCCCTCGCAACCCTCTTAGACTCAGCATGTGACATGTAGGTTCCTGATCCTGCCCATAGGTGGTTCACTTGCTTGATCACATTGGTGGTTGCCGCTTTGTTGGGGAACGCAGTATTTGAAAAAAATTCCTACGATCATGCAAGATCTATCTAGGAGATGCATAGCAACGAGAGGGGAGAGTGTGTCTACGTACCCTCGTAGACCGAAAGCAGAAGCGTTTAGTAACGCAATTGATGTAGTCGAACGTTTTCGCGATCCAACTGATCCAAGCACCGAAAGTACGACACCTCCGCGTTCAACACACATTCAGCTTGATGACGTCCCTCGATCTCTTGATCCAGTTGAGGACAATGGAGAGTTCCTTCAGCACGACGGCGTGGCGATGGTGATGATGAAGTTACCGGCACAGGGCTTTGCCTAAGCACTACGACGATATGACCGAGGTGCGGCTAAAAGCTCAACTTGTGTGTCCTAGGGTGCCCCCTCCCCACGTATATAAAGGAGGGAGGAGAAGAGGGCCGGCCGGCCCCTAGGGCGCGCCCAAGAGGGGAGTCCTACTAGGACTCCTAGTCCTA